CTGCCACTACTGCCTGTACACATAGTGGTAGTCCCTGTGTAACAGAGTGTAGTTTGCCAGTAGAAATGCCACCGGTCTTTGTTTGGATCCATGCTTCTGTGTCAACGCAGAAGTCATAAATCCATTTTTGCAGTCCACCATCTGGGTGAACGGTATCAGTTAACGCTTTTTTTATCTTTACAAATGCTTCTTCCACTTGTGGATTCCAAATTAGTTTATCATTCATTGCTTCAGGAGTTCCATGCACTAAGTCCTGCAGTGGCTGAACTTTTTGTGAGTACCCTGGGACCCACAGTCTGCAATAGTTACAAAGTCCTAAAAAGGACATCATCTGCTTTTTAGTTTGTGGTTTGGGTGCACTTTTGATTGCTTGTTTTCGTGCTTGGTCAATCACCCGACCTGTTCCTGTCAGTACATGACCTAAATATTTCACCTCCCCTTTCCACCGCTGCAGCTTATTTTTACTAACTTTATTTCCTGTCTTGTACAGAAATTGGAGAAGTGCAAGCGTGTTTTTTTTTACTTTTTTGTTTTTGTTCTTGTGTTTCAGATGCCACTAAAAGATCATCTACATATATAAAAAATTGACTACCCTTTGGGGGTTCAAAATCATGTAGACAATTTGTTATCGCTTCAGTAAATATGGTAGGTCAATTCACAAATCCTTGTGCCAATCTTGTAAATGTCAGTCTTTGACCTTTAAATGTGAATGCAAACCATTCTTGACTTTTTTCTTCGACTGATATTGAACATTGAAAGCATTTTTCAAATCCACCACTGAAAAATATTTTGATTCGGGTTTTAGCGTATTTAATAAAGTATGTGGATTGGGCACGCTTGGTGCTCTTACCTCTACTGCAATGTTTACTGCTCTTAAATCCTGTACCATTCTCCAGTCTAGACTATGTGCTGCTTTTCTTACTGGAAAAATTGGTGTGTTACATTCTGATCGGGAAATACAGTACTTTTATTATCCCTTTCGCTTTTAGGACGTTGATTATTGGCGCTATCCCTTTTTCAGCATCAGGCTTCAAAGGGTATTGTCTCATCTTCGGCCTAAATTCTGTTTTGCCCTTGATTATCACAGGTTTTGCGTTTTTCATTAGTCCTACATCAGTTGGACTATTAGCCCATAAATCGTCAGGAAGACATTTAGCTCGTTCTGCTCTTCAGTTGTGAGCGTGAATATTTCT